TAACGCAAAAGGTATTTTCGTCGGGTTCTTTTACAGTCTAACTTGCGTATGTTTAGTTTATAAAAAATGTTTATGTAAAATTTTAAAATATTTTACATTCCCTCGTGTTGACAGAATTAAAATTTAAATGTAATCTGAAGGATATAAGTATTTATGAGTCTAAACTATTTTAAAATGCACTAAGAAATTAATATAATGTAAAATGAATAATAGTCTACCTCCTTATTCTATTAAATATGCAACTTTATGTTTAAGTTTTAAACAGCCGATGCATCGGTCCGACCCGATCTCTTGTAAATAGCAAGTAACACAGTGCTGTGATGCAGCACGTGGTGCAGTCTGCAGCTATGTTAGAAGAAGGTACAGTAGAGGGAGATATTCATGGTCAGGAAGGAGATGAAAGATAACTTTTGCTGTTTTATTTCGCTCAAGAAACAACTTTGGTACTGAAGGATATCCATTGCCTAAATTGTGCAAGATGTTCAGTACTAAAAGAAGTTGTCGTTTGTCCAAACAGATGTATGTACGAGCGACAACTGACGGCCCTGACTTATAAAACTTCAAGAACGCAGGAGTACCTAGGTCTACAAGTGAGTCTCCATAATTTATTCAGGAGGTAGCCATTTCAAGTGTCGTTCGTCCTACTTTATGTCGCTCGCGCTTAGAATCGACATTTTTCTGTTTGTTTATAGTTTCGGACCAACGACCTTCGCCATTAAGAAAGTGTTCTTTGTAAAGATGAAACTTTGTCTTCGAGGCTGTCATTGTCTACAGCGGCAGTGTAAACGAATTTCGTGTTCATTGTTCTGCAAAAGCTAGCGAGAGTCTCGAAAGTGGCGTGTGACTTGGGCCAGAGGTCAATTGTAAGGTTTGGTTAGGTTAGTTATTAGGTCAGATGTAATATTTGAGTGATTATAAATCGGAAAGGATGTGACAGAAATAACGAGAAACTTTGAGATAGGCGACACCGGGGAGAGAACGAAACCTGGCAGGCCACCTGGGAAATGAGAGGTAGGCTGTGGAATTAAACGTGTATAAAGATGTAAAGAAATAACATAATTAGTAGGATATAATTGGGAACATAGAAGGTGGAGGTTTTTCTACTTAGAGATGTTCGTGAACTCTTGTAGCGCCATTAGAGATAACAGTATCCCAATTAAGTTAATAGGCTGTCAAAACAAACTCTGTTCTGTTCCCACTGCTTTTGAAACACGTGGTACATAGAAATGTTACTATCTATCCTGTGAACATAAGCTGCTGTCATTCTGGTATATTCTCTCTAAACACATGGTATGAACAGTTGTACTGTACACTGACGATCAAAGTGTTTCTTGATGATTGTGAAGACAGAAGTTACTGCTACAAGCCACACAACTCACGAAAGAACATTTTATTCATGCTGGACGTTATGACGAAGAGAAAATCTTACCCTGAGGGGAGTCGATCCCCGGTAGCCTAGGCTACTGACTGAATTATTCCTACCTTACTACCTTTATGGGTAACATTTTTCGATATGGTGGATATTTAAAGAATTAGAATGAAGAATAATTTAGAACTATCTGCACTGTTTAGTGACTTTAAATTAGTGCAGTAGCAACAATAGGCATTTATCCGCAATAATAGGTTTGTTTGTGAAACAAATGAACATGATGTCCAATGACGTATGCAAACTCTCATATGGAGAATAACGTGCATGTAGAACGCTTTAGAATATGTTCTGAACTGGTCTTGTCTTGTTAGGTAATTTTACACTCCCGAAATATAGGCAGCCTGCTCTGCTCAATATCAGGGTATGTTCCAAGTTCTCAATTCCTTCATTAGCCTGTCATTTTTTAAAAAAAAGTTAGGACAGTCATGGGGTCTCATTCCTTCATTAGCCTGTCATTTTATAAAAAAAGTTAGGACAGTCATGGGGTCTCGTCTGTTCCAGTTAATACCCCTACAAAACCTTTTCCCCAGTAATTTCCTTAAGGGTGGACTATTTCCGTGGATTTCGATATGGCCATTTGCCATTCGAGGCATTTACACATTCGCAGTTCTTAACCATCTACTCTTATTCAATTTTCGTGAAATTTCCCCAACAAAGTTCCGTATTCATTTCTTTTCCTGTAGATTATAGACGGGCCCTTCTTTCTCAGCCAGGCTTATGTCTCAGTTGACTTTAAACTTCGTCTGTTATAACTCCGCACCGAATAAAAAGATGTGGAACGAAGCCGCAGGCATGTTGACGAATTTTAATCAATAAAAGGCTCGAAAATGCAGGCCTGTGCGTAAGAAGACCCTCTTCACGTTGCTCAGTTAGCTTAGCGATATTAGTTGAGACAGTGTTGTAAAGCTCAGTTGCGCGGACTTCTGTTAGGATTATAATACATATTTTGTTTTATATTTACCATCTAATGCAAGAAAAAGGCATGGAGGACAGAATGAAGGAAAGAAAGAAACAAATAAAGTGGGATGGCCTTCAATGACATTAATTTTCTTAATATTGTTATAGAAAAATAAGTTCTGCTGATTTGGCTTTATTATTTTGGTGGGGGTCCCGATTTAAATCTCGGTCGAAGACTAAAGCTTTTCGTGGTTTTCCTGTGTACCTCCAGACCTACCCTAAATTAAGGCACGGCCTCTCTTTTGTACGTCCTTTCCAGTTCAGTTCTCAGCAGTCCTATAATTCGACACCGTGTAGTCGTAACTACTCGTAGCGTCGTTAAATAAACTACAATAAACATATGTAGCCGAAATAATGAGTTTTATTCCCGTGGTTTCTGTAACGGGACACATACTCATATGAATGAATATGACACCACAAGCTTATTTGTCCATGTTAGACGTAAAGAACATGCAAGAAGTATATAGAAGCATGCCATTTTCCGAATCCTCCCCTACTTAGGTGTTATAATTCAGTGCAAGGCATAAGCTCATCCACAAAAACTTAGGTTTTCCCCAGAAGCTCTGCGTTCACATACTGAGTGATCTCGGTGTGTGTGACGGTGGTGTTCGCAGACTTCGGGTGAGAATTCTCGTCTCCACTGACCACCTGTCCCATGGAGCCCCCCTGAACGGAAGGGGGAGAAGGAGAAAGAGAAAGAGAGAGAGAAAGACAGATGAATGTGCCTCCCTTTTTTTACTTCTTCGCCTCGGTTATTGATGTGTATCGCCATTGCTTTCGGAACATGTGCTGTCTTCTTTACTTTCTTCTGTCTCCGTGTATTCTTTCCTTATCATTTTTATCACATTATTTCCTTCCTCTTTTCCTCGTTTCCTTATTTATCTCTTGCTTTCTTTTCTTCATCTATTCTCTTTCTTCCCGTCTTTCTTTCGTCCTTGTTCTTTTTCTTACATTAATTTATCTCTTCTTCATTAATTTCTTTCCTATTTCGTGATTTCTTATTGTGTTCTCCCTCCATTTGTCTTGTGTTTCGTCTTTTTCTTCTCATTCCTTGTTTCATTGTCTTCTCTCCTCCTCCTGCTTTCCTTGTTTCCCGCTTCGTTCTCAGTTTTGCACAGTCGACAACAGACCACCTGCAAATGCCGTGGCGCGCGAAGTAGAGTAACATGATAGATTTATTCATCGGCTTATTTATTGATTGAAGTCCGCACTTGCATTGGTTATTCACGTCTGGACGTGGTTATGACGCAACCACTGTTTGATGTCTGATATTGTAGGCTGCCTTGATACGCCGGCAAAATGCTCTTTATCGCCAGTCTCGAAAATGCCACCAGTTCAAATCAAGACATGATAACGACCTGCGTCTATTACAGATCCATCCCAGTGTTCCACTGAATTGCCATAAGTCTATTTGGCCTGTAGATTATTTACTTGAACAGATATAAAAGCGCTTCGTTCATCCAATAATTCAGATAGCAGTTGACTTTGAAATAATTTATACCCGTTTGTTCTGTTCACGTACAAAACACTTCTTTGTTTCACGTAATTACGTTCTTGTCATTGTAATAATCGATTTCTGCGCTATCGATAATTTGCATTCGGTCACCATTCAGGCAGTTTTAGCCTGTTATGGTGTTTATGTAAAGGTTTATTCCTATAAACAAAAAGACTGTAGGTCCGTATCTCATTAACATTTATAGTCTTAAACATATTATTCTTGTGGTATAGTGACTTTATCCTGTTTAATGGTATACAAAGAAAAATACTATATGACGGCGTGCAATGTCGATTATCTGTGTTTACAGTGGATTTGTGCCGGTGTTAAATAAATACGAAGGCCAGTGAGAGATGCGCAATCGCAGAGAACTTAAACTTAACCTTGAATCATTTTTAAACTTGTCAATATTTTGTCGCAAAAATTTAGCAGCAACGTTTGAAATTTTATTTATTCATTTATTAACTAGGAATAAATTCTACAGACATTATTTAACGGATTTTCTTGAAAGTTTGTTCTGACATAATGCCATTAGACACGTTCACAGTTTGATGTCTTTCAATTCCCCGTCACCAACAGTACCAACTTTTAGTATAGGAATGTCTTACAGGTTGTTACGCCATTTAGTCTGGTGTGGTGATCGTCCTGATAACGGAAGCAGCAAACACTTTTGAAACGTCGGTAAAATTCAACCAGACTACACGGCGAAACACCCCAGTCATCTTCATATTCGCAGCCACGAGAACATGAAATCTCACAACAGAGAAACTTATTTTTGTTCTCATAAACCTCAGCAACAGATTGATATTCTTCGAATATCTGTTACCATTCCAAATATCAAGACCGTAATCTACATTAAGTGTCGCTAGTATCACTGCCATCCCAGACGTCACGTAATAGCCATGTTGGAATTATTGACGGAAGGAAATTAAAGAAGGTATTAAGATTTATAGTCTCTGGTGGCATGATGTTAATACCAAGCTTCGTAGAAATAAGGAACTTGTTTCAAAAGCAATTTATTGTACGGACACGCACACTACATCCTAATCCTGTCTTTCATTATATAAGTAAATGATCTAGAAACATCGAGTAACTGAATGAATATTGTTGTGTGCTCAGGCAAGACTATGCAGCGATCGGGCAGATTACATCTCAGGGATGTGAACCAGCATCTCGTGTGTGTCTTGTGCAGCGGCTACTACATCGACGCTACCACCATCGTCGAATGCCTCCACTCATGTAAGTACTGATATAACCTTCTTTAGCCCTTATGGCTGCCGCCAGCCGAGTGGTTTTCTTTCATTCTTTGGCGTCATGGATTAGATTGACTTCCTCTTAGAGGTCTGCATGGGCCGAACTTTTAAAATGTCATCCTCCGTGACCCGAGGGTCATTTGGCCTGTCCCAGTCCGATTCCGAAGTTTATCTTCCCCGTACCCGACCGAAGATCAAGTTCGTTTTATTGCAGCCCGTATGAAGTCCGATCTATTCACACTCTGCCCTGACTATCGTGTCACCAATATATCGTATGCATAAGTGGCATTAATTCTTGAATAAAACATTTAA